GATTTTCATTCAAAGTCCTCGTCGGATTAAACAGTTAATTCCAAAATTCCCAAAGAAATTTAGACAAGTGAATGAGCAGAAGTATGGATAAGTGAAATGAGAAAAACGGATTTTATTGTACTCAAATCTACTTTGAATGAACTTATGTAAATTGTTTAATTAAGGTTTTTCATGGAATGTTCTATCCCGATCGTCAGCAAATTCAGCACAGCTGTTCTCACTCACACCCTCAAATATACTTGTTAGCTTTTTGCCATCTCTCGTTCCCACTAAAACAAGTAAGAAGTAAATGGTAGAGATTCTCCCAATGAATTTGGAGTGTCTGAAGCTTTCCTTTAATGAATTTCGGCGGGAAGCAGTTAGTCGCTCTTAAGTGCCCCAAATGGACGCCACTTATACTCGCAGCTATACTTGCTGCCATGTTCAGTTCTATTTGAGTATATGATCGTGCACTATCATTTAAATTCTACCCGATTCTAGATTTCTCTTAATTTTAAAAGTAGTTGGAACTATAAGATGAGGATTTTCCATGAGAAATTCCAAAGTGGAAACATTGTTGTGAACTATTCTTTATGCATTTAATTCCCTTGCATAGCTAGCCAATCTGAGATCTAATTGAATTTCTCATCAAAATAATTTTAGCAAATTACTCAATCAAAAAGCTGGCTTTATACAGCCCGTATCTGAAACCAACTAAATGTGAATTTAAAATCGGAGACATTGCAGTTGATTGTCAGTGCTTCAACGTAGCGCCAATCGCTGTTAGCCACTGCAAAGGTTGAACCTACACTCCTAAATGGCTACTCTTTTATACGAGACCTGAATGATTCAAGCTTCAACTATATCAAAAGCGTATTTTTTTATCCCTAGCGAGTACTAGATTTTCTATATCAGGCAAAACATCTTCTTAACATATACTCGTTGTTTCTCTAACTTCTCGATATTTGTATAAATCCTTCAATACGTAAACTGTCATTGATTCAGTCTTAGTGGCGCATTTTCAACCATTTTGCTAGACGCTATGCAGGCATTTCCTAAATCACGAATCCTATAAACCTGCTTTGGCAGCAGCAGACGTTCGTCTGCGCTCCGTCGGGGCGCCACTAACGACTAGCTGCTGCCCTTCTTAACTTCGTACCACTAAATGACTAATCTTTTACTCTGACATAAGCAAAGTCTTCATTTCAAAATTTCGACTCAAATATTGAAATATTATGCGAACAAGTCTGATTAATATTGCAAAAATTTTATGCCTTGCGACTATATATCGATTGGTAAAATGTACTCCACTTTCACTGAATGAATCTTCGGTATGCACAAGCAGTCCAAAATACAACTTTAGCAGTAATGTCTCGCGGAGAGTAGACAAACATTAACACATACTTGAACTTTACAATTCATGTAAAGATCATGATTAAATCAACATTATGTAAAAGAGAACTGGACGCTAAATCTCTCTTGTTTTTCCTCACTTGACAGAGACAAGCGCACAGATAAATGCATCCTCTATGATATCACCACCTGTTCACTATCAGCAAAAAAGTTAATTTATGATTCCACAGCTTTCAAGTCAGTGGGAAGTTCGGATACAACATCTGATCTCAGATTCGGAATCCTGACCTTCCATAACTTCCATCAAAGTTCCGTCAAAGCGGTTACAAGCCTTAAAATAAAAAACTTCGTTTCTGATTGGTCGGTTTTCAACCAATGAAACCTCGCCCAAAAAAAATGAGCTTCAGATTCAGATTCAGTGCCCTGTATAACCTATAGCAAACTTCGATCCAAACAGCCAAAAGTCTTAAAATGAAAAAGCTCATTTCTGATTGGTCCGTTTCTGACCAATAAAATCTCGGCCAAAAAAAATGGGCTTCGTATTCGGATTCAGGGCCATCGATAACCCATAGCAAAGTTCGATCAAAACGGTCAAAAGTCTTAAAATAAAAAAGCTTATTTCTGATTGGCCCGTTCCTGACCCATGCAATCACGCCCAACAAAATGGGCTTCGTATTCGGATTCAGTGCCCTGTATAACCTATAGCAAAGTTCGATCAAAACGGCCAAAGGTCTCAAAATAAAAAACCTCATTTCTGATTGGTCCGTTTCTGACCAATGCAATCTTGGGCAAAAAAATGGGCTTCGTATTCGGATTCAGGGCCATCGATAACCCATAGCAAAGTTCGATCAAAACGGTCAAAAGTCTTAAAATAAAAAAGCTTCTTTCTGATTGACCCGTTTTTGACCAATGAAATCTTGGCCAACAAAATGGGCTTCGTATTCGGATTCAGTGCCCTGTATAACCTATAGCAAAGTTCGATCAAAACGGCCAAAAGTCTTAAATTAAAAAACCTCATTTCTGATTGGTCCGTTCCTGACCAATGCAATCTCGCCCAACAAAATGGGCTTCGTATTCGGATTCAGTGCTCTGTATAACCTATAGCAAACTTCGATCCAAACAGCCAAAAGTCTTAAAATGAATAAGCTCATTTCTGATTGGTCCGTTTCTGACCAATAAAATCTCGGCCAAAAAAATTGGGCTTCGTATTCGGATTCAGTGCCCTGTATAACCAATAGCAAAGTTCGATCAAAACGGTCAAAAGTCTTAAAATAAAAAAGCTCATTTCGGATTGGTCCGTTGGTGACCAATGAAATCTTGGCCAAAAGAATGGGTTTCGTATTCGGATTCAGGGCCATCGATAACCTATAGCAAAGTTCGATGAAAATGGCCAAAAGTCTTAAAATAAAAAAACTTATTTCTGATTGGTCCGTTTCTGACCAATGAAATCTCGGCCAAGAAAATGGGCTTCGGATTCGGATTCAGAGCCATCGATAACCTACAGCAAAGTTTCATCAAAACTTGGAAAGGCCTTAAAATAAGCTAGCCTCTCATAAATGTTCTTTGGACCCGCGACAAGACCACAAGCAAACTTATTTTATTTCATATGACGCTCCCTACAGTCGAGGGAATAAGTACTAAAACAAATTGGCTGTGCTCAACTTGGCGTCCTCCATACAAACGTTTGCATTCATTCATTTAATTTAAGTCAAAAGGGTGTGGGTGTGGATGTGTGTGGAAATGCAGATAGGGATCACACCCATACCCTAGGGCGAATCCTACCGGCAAACACAACTCGATCTATATTTATTTGAAACAAAAAAAAGAATTTGATTTCCGATAATAGTATTGTTACAAACAAAATCGTATCATTAACGATGAAATTTAAAAGACTTTGATTTGAGTTTATAAACAAATTCTTTTATCCAGAAAGGAATCTGTGAAAAACAAACTTGATTTCAATTACAGTGGATTCTAAAGTGATGAATATGAGTTTCCTCTTCATCCGAATCCACCATTTCATTGTAAAATATGCCTTTACTGACTATAAACGCATTGCGTTTAAATCATCTCATTTATGTTACTTTACTAAATCGACCATATTCAACACCATTGTTGTGAATAAAAATGAAAACAATGTTTCATAGAAAATAAAAGGAGTTTTGTCACCATGTTTTCTTTGTTATATTGAACCATCGCTGTGAGGTAGTTTTTTAATTATTGAATGAATTTATTTCGCAAATGTCTTCTTTTTTTGCTGACACCTGATCATAGTCATAAAATAAATAACTTTTTCATTTGAAAAATAAACAGATTAACATCTAATGATGATAAATATACATTTTCAAGATCAAAAACTGCAAAACTATTTGTTTTCATCTTTCTTAGTTCCACAACAATAAACATCGCAAAAAATATTTAAATCATACATAATCTTGACACAATTAAAGAGAACGAAATTTAAGAAAGTACAAACTATTACGGACTTTGGTGTTCTTTATGGATGCGAATGCAAGTTTGCGTTTACCTAACCAGAATAACTACACCCACATAAACAATTCAGACTCACATTTGAAGAAAGGCAATTTATTGTAATACTTTAAAAAAATTAAAATTCGTTTTTTACCAGTTCTATGTTTTTTTTCAATTCTACAATATACGGATGCGTTGGAGAAAGATTTATTTGACCAATCTCTAAAGCTTTTTCATAAAATGAAAGTGCTTGTTTGTACTCGCGCATGTTAAAGTATACCACACCCATGTTGCCGTAGGAGGTCGCTAAATCGGGATGATTCGGAGGAAGACTTTTTTGTTTGATTTCAAGTGCTTTTTTATGGTTTAAAAGTGCTTCCGAGTATTTTTCCATCCTATCGTAAACTGCACCAATGTTCATATAAGAAGTAGCCAATTCAGGATCAGTCGAAAGGAGAATTTGTTCGTCAATAGCAAGTGCTTGTTTGTATGATGAAAGTGCTTCCAAGTACTTGCCCACGAGAGCATATATATTACCAATGTTGTGGTAGGAAATAGACAAGTAGGGATGATTGGAGCAAAGTGCCTTTTGACTGATCTCCAGATCTTTTTTGTAATACGAAAGTGCTTCTGAGTACTCTTCCTTGTTAGCATATACCGAACCAATGTTGTTGTAGTAAACAGCAAAGTCGCGATGATTTGGAGGAAGATATGTTTTTCCTATTTCAAGTGCTCGTTCGTAATGCGAAAGTGCGTCCGAGTATTTGCCCATGTCAGAATAAACTGAGCCGAGTAGAAGATTATAATCTGATTTTTCCTTATTAGAAGATGCTTCTTCGAGGAGAGTCTTATAGAACTGTTCTGCTTTGTAAGGCTCCCCAATTTTAATAAGTATGAAACCTAGTCGAGACAATCCTCGTGCTGCTATCAGATGGAGCTCATTTCGTATGTTTACTGTAAGTGTATGAAGTTCATGGTTGTCGTTGCCTATAAGAGTGAGCTTGACTTCCCATAGCTTCTTAATTTGTTTATCTGGAATTTGCTTAATATCATCAATGCAAAAAACTGTGTGTGTTGAAAAAAGAACTTCTTCTTCATCTTGGAAAGCACCCACATTTTTCACGTCAGCAAAAGGAATTGATGATTTCGCACATACTGCTGGGTCAATGGTCATAAAGAACAGTATGCCTATTAAACTGGAATCTTTACTGACTGCTTCTTGTGCAAACCTTAAGGAGACTTCACGATTTCGACTTGTAGATAGGAAATTGTTAAACGACATAAGCCCTCCTTTTGTTTTTTCCAATTTGTCAAAATCTTCAACTGACAAACCCTGACCCCGGAAAACATGAAATATTGTGGTACGTGCTGTGTTGTTGGATTGCTGTTGAAGATGTAAAGTTTCAATATCTTTATGTAATGCTCGAATAAAAAAAGCCATTTTGAGCATAATGTCGACTTCCATTCGCCGAAGACCACGATTGAGCATGCCATAAATAAAACTGTCATATGTATACCACCAAATGGGTGGATGACTACTATATTTCTGCGCGAATTCATCAATCTGTGCTTTATCAATATCTTTTTGGCGACCGCAAAACTCAATTAATTCTTTAAACGACTTTGCATCGTCCTCTTTCATTTCCAACAAAATTTCTTTCAATAACTGTGTATACATAAATAAAGGATCGATGTCCTTAAAGCTCAGCGGGATCATTGCTCGATCACAATTTGCACAATCGGATTGTAATACTTTACAAATGTCTTCGATATTTGTGTAAACACCTTTTATCTTAGATATTGTTTTAACCCATTGTTCATGAACTGATTTATCATCACACAACACATATACGGAATCCAATTGTGACCATGCTTGAATATCTGGTATTATACGCCGTCCCAACGACTCTGATACAATCATAAATGTTTTTTCTTCTTTAACTTCACGGAGAAAATTGACACATAGTTCAGCATCTGTAAACGTCCTGATTGATGCTATAACACGTCGAAGACATTGTATTGATTTCTGCAAATATTCTCGAGATTCATTAAAATTAGCATCAAGCCATATCAGAAGAAAATTTTGCAGAACTCGATTAAAATCTGTAGGTAGCACAGCAGTACTATTCGTAGTAGTTGCTGCTTGACCACTCTCAGCAGTTGTTGTCGATGCTAAGTTATTCATGATAGATGGATGAATGCAATAAGTAATACACCTTTCTCCTATATATATATTATAGTTTACTCCTTCTGTTGACACCTTTTTGACTGGTTGCTATCGATTTCAAGGACTTCTTGTCTCAACCATTAATCCTTTTAAAGAGCATTGCTCACTAAACGACGACGACAAATGAGAGGAACCTGTGCACACAATACGACAAGTAGAAGAGACCAAGAACAAGAAAGAAAAATAAATGCAAATGGTTGTCCTTCGAAGAAAAGAAAAAAATGAAAAATCATAAATAGAATTTTAAGTATATTGTTGATTTTCATACTATTTGTTAACATAGCAAGTAAGTTGCTATGTATACGTAAAGGTGGATCTTTCGGAAGACGTAAACCATCAGAAGACTAAAACATGTTTATGTATTTTGTTTGCTCGATCATTATTAATTACACAAAGTTTAAAAGCAAACTGTGCAAAAGAAAGCAAATGTTTGATTATTTATTATTTTACCCTAGGTTCATGTTCTCATTCTATATTACTACCTGATTGTCTTGATTGGAGTCTATGGGCTTTTTTATTTCAAACTGAATTCTAAAATAAAAAAAACCGCACCAACTTCTTCCGAATCAAACTTTTCTCGTTTGATACTACGTAGTCCCACTAAAAACCCTTAGTCCCCCCTAGTCCTGCAAAGTCCCCCTTAGTCCCCCCACAAAAAGCTTAGTCCCCGCTTAGTCCCTTGTGCAGGGGACTAAAGCCTATAGTACACAAAGTCACAAGCACACCCTCACCCTCACTCGCGCGCCCACACCCGCACCATGGGTGTGGGTGTGTGGGTGGGTCCCAGACCAACACCCACACCCTCAGTCACTCCCCCCCTCACTCCTAGACTCACGTTTCAGTTTGAAATCAAGTATTATTTTTATTTGATAAATTCAGACTGAAATTAAATAGCCCATAGTATGCTTGATTGATAGGAAAACAGTAGATTCCGAAACTTCAAGTAGCTTCATATGAATTCTAGAAGATAAAGAGTTGTACTACAGTCGTTTCTATTATTAAAAATATATCGCTGTCCACAATCTCTTATTGATAATAAGGAATGCCCATAAAATCAATGAAATGCGGGGGTTTGGGTGTGGGTGGGTGGATGTGGGTGTGGGTGGATGGATGTAGGTGTGAGTGTGGGTGTGGGTGTGGGTGGGTGTGGGCGTGGGTGTGGATATGGGTGTGGGTGTGAGTGTGGGTGTGGGTGTGGGTGTGGGTGTGGGTGTGAATGTGAGTGTGGGTGTGAATGTGAGTGTGGGCAGATATAGAGAAAAACCACACTCAGACCCATAGTCATACCAACAGCCACACCGACACCCACACCCACACCCACACCCACACCCGCACCCACACCCCACAC